AATAGTTTAGGTGAATTTCTGCGATCGTAATAGGCCCTAAAAGTATTACTAAGACCGCAAATCGCATCCCTCTATGGAGACATTCAAGCAGGTCACGGTTTTATGGTAACATAGTTTATTACGTGCACTACACGATATAAAAGTTCCATTAAAAAATTTGACAATTTGCAAGTCACTAGACTGTGCAATCCTCTGGAATCTTTCGCAATTCGTCGAAGTTAACATTGCAACGTTGCTATTTCGTGGTGATCGCCACCAAGTGAACGGCTCTCATCGTGACTGTCACGCAGCGGAAGAGACCATGAAATTTTTCCATCATCGCTCATTCAGTGACTCGCTGAATTAGGCGCAAACCATAAACAAACTTTAAATGCAGTTTCCATATGGCTAAAAATGGCAGTGGCATGAGTGTTCACAACTAAATTGCTAAGAACAACAGATGCGGCATCGTCGAGGCATGCGATCCCTTCGATCTTTAATCGTTGTCCAGTTTTTGGTACCAGAACACGGAAATCAGCAAAAAGCCGTTACGACAGTGAAACAGCTTCCATTTCTGGTTTTCAATACAGACGGTAATTTTAAACTCTCCGTCCGGGCATGTGATTGCAATAAAACAAGTTTACTTCGAAATGTAACTGTCTTAAAAGACATGGTCATGTTAACAAAAAAAGCACTTATCGTAAAAGAAAAAGACTAGATCGACTGCATTCGGTTCTTGCCTATGTTGATTCATTGTGCGTCTGTGTGCGTGATCGACCTTTGGGTTCTACGCCAGGGGCTGCAGTGCTCAAGTCTACGACTCCGGCAGCACAGCAAACGGACAACGACCTTAGGCATTTTTCCTAAGCGATTTCAGCCCTGCCCGTGAGAACACAATTAAGCAACGATGGATGCGACCTTGCAACCGTTCCGTCGAACCACGTCATTCGTGCAACACGGCTGTGACGGCTCTCACAACTCAGCTGCAGACTCCACCTCCCTCCCGGTTCGCTACTCGACGAATACCAACGTATGCTTAAGATGCTGCGCCGACATTCTTGCTGTGAAGTGCTCAAGTGGCGCTGATCCGTGTTCACTGATGTCGATGTTTCTAAGCCACTGACACGAAGATTGTGTGAAGACACTTTAGTGTGCTGTGCTCTGGTGACGCTGAATTTTCGACTGGTTTCCAAACACTGTTAGAGTAAACGTTTTGCTGTTCAGCCCTCTGCTACAACGGCTGTCGCCGGTAACAGCGAGTCTAAGTATTTGAGGCTACCAGCGTCCACTAGCCAGTCTCCATGTAATGGTATATTCGTCGTTCCTGTGCTTGATGTCATTTTCTCATCACTTTGTTTTTCAGCGGTTAAATCGACGAGACGACCAGCTCCGTTTTGGGGTGGCTTGAACAGAATCTGTCGATCGCCGTAGTCCATTTCCAGGTTCGTCTAGCGGAGCGATATCGTCAGCGTAATTGAAGTCTTAATTGAGTAGCACGGTTGGATACACTGAGCTGAAGCTTCAACATAGCATCATTCATCGTCATCGTCACGAAGTGCAAGAAACTTTAAACAGCAGAGCAGCTAAGATTTTTTGTCCGATCCTCTGATATGCTTCTTAGACATAAATGAGGCAAACAAAGTTTCTCGCAAATCTTAAGCCTCTGCAGTCGGTATGATTACGAAAGTAAAGCCGTTTTATCAGTCACTGATGATCATCAAGAACACGATCGGAACAAAATCTTTATGGCAAGACGGAATATTGTTGGTAATGCGTGACAACACGCTAGCGATGGAAATAATACATATCTATGCTTATGTAAGTGCTGCGCTGCAGTATATTTTTGTCAGCTCAGGATCAGAGACTGTTGCATCACTTTGACTGCATGAACGAAGGAATTCTTTGATCGATGCATGTTAGTTGCTGTGCAGATAACCATTGCTCGATCTCGATGTCCGTGTTTGGCTGTCTGTCTCGTGCGATCTGCCATATGTCACCTTCAGGTTGTCGTTCCGTCTGAGCCGAGGCTTTCTAAATAGAGGCTTACGGTTTCTTCGGTAGTATCAATCCGTCACTGCCGAAATCCATCTATCAATTACACAACCTGATGTACGCGTCTCTTCCTGTCGTTCAAGACTTAACAAAACATTCTAATTCCGCATTCTGGTCCTGACGGTAACTCCTAGCATCTTTCATTCCGTAGTTCACTGCGATGGCACTCTCGACACTTCTATGCCAGTCTTCGCCAAATCCAATTCCAAAAATCTCTGTAATTGCTGGCAATACAATGCGACTGTTTCGCGCCAATGCATTGTAGGCGCTAAAATACCATGGAGCCGCAACCTAGCCAAACGGCCCCTTCACTATTAGTAGGAAAGGAACGGTGCGACAATGCCACGCAAATTCGGTGACAGAAGATAATTTTGGTTCCTAGCCAATCGGTAGTTTCCTTTTTTCAAGAATGATGCTACAGTTTCCTCACGTGCATACTCCACGCGTTATAACGAGCAACGGACGAAAAAATTACCCGAGACCCGATGGAGTTACGAATAGCGATTATGAAAATAAGAAAAGTTTGAAGCCGTTAGCGTTTCGGTCTTCTGTCACCCATATCCGTAACGGGTGCCCTACTCTCTGTCGATGCCATCAGCCATATTTTTGTAAAGACATCATCTCAAAAGATTAAAATGCAAGCAGTTGCATGGCCGAGATCTAAGCTACCCGGAAGTGACACCAGAATGATAGAAAACTAGGCGGCAAGCGACAGTCGATATATAGGGCATGGACGGCAGCGGAACGGCGACTCAGCCGACGGACGAAAAGAGGAAAACAAAATTTGCAAGAGTTGGGATGACGGTTGCTGGGGCACTTCGTGATGGGTCGGTTTGAAGCACTCTTCGTTTCATGGAGCTTAATGTGCGGCGCTGACCTCCGTTACTGTGCCATCAGGTAAGAGTGTTTCATTTTTGAGATGATTTTTATAATCAATCTTTCATAAAATCTGTCATCGTTGTGGGCGTGTTGTGAATTTAAGTCGACGCTGCTCCAAGTATCACTCTTCTGGAGAATTTTTAGCGAGTAGCTGTTCAGCATCCATTCGGGGCACCAACCACTGTGAACTACTGCTGACATCTCCACACCCCTCAGCCAACTCAACGGAATCAAATAGGTACGCACAAGCCGTTGAGGTTTTGGTCACGGACATATATCGGCGAGTGAGGGGCACAATCACCGTCTCCATGCAGACTCCTGCGCCACTTTCAAGCCTTCACTTCAGCCGAAGAAAGGTAGATTCAATGTCGACCTAGTGTCCAGTGTCAACAGCTATATTGTTATATAAATATAGCTATATGGTTGAACTTCATGTTTTGGAAGGATGAAAGGCGAGTAACTCAACCAAGTCTTGAACGCGTGAACTCTCGAACTGTGAATCGGAGGCCCACGCTCGACTGACTGACAAACTAGTGGTTTGAACTGAAAAGGAAAGTCGCAACCATTTTGATGGCGATCTTTGCACGTTCATGATGCAGCTATTCTGGTGACCTTATTTTCACGTAATTAATTAATTGTTCGGTGTTTCTATGCCGACCGCCAGGAGCGTCTTATTTTAAAGGCAGAATCAAAAGTCATGTGGTAAGCATAGTGCGTAGTGTCTTGTTACTTTCCCACAGAGTAGCACTCATTCATCAATTTCGGAACGAAGAAAAAAGAGTGACTCTGACGTGACCGAAGTTCGATTACGGGATCTCTCGAGTGTGGATCCTGGATGTGACGCTTCACCGACTGAGCAACCATAGTGAGAAACAACATGTGCTAAGTTCATTGCTGAAAGTTATTCGTGGACAGGACAAAGATTGTCCTTGAACAGAATCGAACCGAGCACCTGCCGAGTTCGCAGCAAACCACTTTGACAGTACGCCACCATACGATAATGAGGTGAACGTTTGAACCGACTAAACGACCGAAACAACGGACGAACTTGCGAGTTTGGCTGGCAACGCACGCACGTACGCACGCGCATGAATTTTCGCGCGAACGAACGAGTTTCGAGGTCGAAGTGGAGTCTGAAACAAACACAAATGGAAATGAGTGCAGACGACGAAGCAAAGTCACTACAAGTCGCAACGAGTCATACCTGCGGAGCGAACGATGATGAGGGCGACCGAGACGGAGAGGCGACGCGACGCGGCGCGGCGCGAACGCAAATACAAACGCTTGCGTGCTTGTCGTTGCAGCATGACATGCGGCAGGAGCGGTGCCCGGACCGGACCTGGATGAGTGTGGATCTAGTCATGAGCCAAAATCTGCATGGACTCGACCCACAATCATCCGCGTCGTCGGATCGGTGCTTGACTGCATCACTGCTTGACTGCTTCACGGTAAACGGAAGCGAGTTGCGCGACGAGGACACAACTCGGCGAAGTCACCGCGACGGGACGGCGACACAAACTACTAACTGAGAAACTGAGAAAGCGAGAAACCGGAGCTGGTTTTGGAGTTGGTACCCTGCCGGTCGGATCCGGTCGATGAATGACGAGCGGCAGCGGCGGCGGCGACAGCGACGAAACGCAAGGCAACACGGAACACAGCAAGACGGTCGGAGTGAAGACCGACCGATCCGGCGGAGGAGGTGTTTGATGCCCGAGCAACAGTCACATAGGTCGGTCAGCGCGCTGGTGCTCATCGCCATGGCCATCGCCGTCGCCGCGGCGACGAAGCCAGCCGCTCAGCGGCGGCGACTAGGCGGGCGCGTAAACCCGTTTTTCCGGTCCTGCCTGCCGTGCGCGGCGCGCAACCGACCAGCGTCAGCAGCGGCGACGGTCGCAGCAGGGTCTAACGAACGCAACGAACGAAGCACCTGGTTCAGACGAAAGACGACAGACGAAAGCAAGCGATGACGAGGGTAACAGCTAATCCTCGCCTCACTGTCCCTCCCGGCCACAACATAAGACAAAAAGGCAAAAAACTCAACAACAACGATGACGACAAGAAAAAGACGCGCAGGACAAAAAATGTTGCTTGTGACGGCTGACACACGGAAACGTGTGCCGACGAAAATCCGGTTGGCGTTGCAACGTACGATCCTTACGACGACCGCCGTCAAGACCGCACGCGACGCAACACCGGTGAAACAAATTATATGGTGGGCAACGTTAGGAAACGACGGAGGTGGACGAGGACGAGTTGGATTTGAGTGAGGTCGCGGCCGGTCAACGGCCAGTGGTTAGACAACGTACGATTATGCAGTGCGACGAAGTAATGATTCGTTCGGCCGGACGGACCCCGGGGACAGGCCCAATACCGACTGAGGGAGTGCGACTCGCTTGAACAACGAACGGAACGATTGCCGAGGTCGGCATGCCGACACGCACGCAGTTTGTGCGTGAAGACGGCGCGGCGCGGCGCGGCGCGGCTTTGTTTCGTAGGACTGTAAGTGTCTGTGCATCGTCGTCATCCTTAATGACCCGAATATTTCAAGGTTACCTTCCTGCGAAGGCGAATGCCTGCCTGCCGGTCGACTGGCCATGAAAGCAGTTTTTGCGCGACGCGAGCGGCGTGCGAGCGACTTTCGGCGCGGCGCTGCGCGACGCGACGCGACACATCAAACGATATGGCCAATTCGCTCTGTTGCTTGTGGGGACACACCGGCACGACGGTTAACTGTCGAATGTCGATCGTGTATCAGAACGAACACTCACCAACAGCGTATTGAAGAGGCAACAACGACGGAGGACCGAGGACGGACGGACGGACGGACGGACGGACATTGACGAACGCAATGCACAGCCGCGCACGGCCGCACGGCAACCAGTTTGCAACCAGCTCCTTCGGCTCAGTTCGCGTGCGCGCATACGCTACACATTCGTCGTCGTTGTCACCCTCAAAACTGGCCGCGTGACCTTCGAGCACTGGCGCACCGACAGACCGACCGACCAACCGACCGACCGACCGAATAAACGCACTCAGGCATGCGTCGTACATCGGAGACGACCAGCGAACGACAAGCAACGACAGACCGAGGGATTGACGACGCCGGGGACCGGGATCCCGGGCCGGCCACAGCCACCACCGATTTAGAGGATAGATGGTCGGACAGCCTAACGACGCAGACGCAAACGCAACCGCCTAACGGCACGTGACGCTTAGCGACAACCGTTACATCGTGTCGTCTTCTGACTCTGCAAACTTCCGACTCCTTCAGTGACCACTGACGCCCTCCTCCCTCGTCAGCGGCCGCTTTCCCACGGTCCGTGATGACAACGACGCAAAAACAGCGACAGGACAGACGACCGACGCGGGACGACGACGACGACGACGAGAACGAACTGCCTTACCTGCCGCAGTTTGTCGTTGCTTGCGCATACCTCACCTCAGCCTCACGCCTGCTTCGTGCCTACCATTTCCTCCGCCCTTTCGCGCGACAGCGGCGATTTAGGTCAGCCCCGACAAAAAACTTTTCTCGTCCGTTCGCTGTCGCTATCATCCATGATTTATGGACGCCGACCGACGACGGACAACGGACAGACAGACAGACGGTCGCAGCCCAAAGACCAACGCCACCGTTCTGCGGCATTCTTCTTTTCTCTGCCACCCGCTTGACTTAACGTTGTCATCGTAACCTTCGAGTGAACGGCTTTATGCACGACCGTCGGCCACTCCCACCACTCAGTGAGTACGCACCGCGCTCACCACTGACACCTCTTAGCAAGGTCGTGCCTTTAAGTAGGGCGCTAAGCGCGTTTACCCGACTGTAGCCCATGCTCAGGTTCTTTTCGTTTAGCAGAAACCGGTAAAACACTTTTTAAAGTAAATGCTATGTGTTCTATGGAAAGCTCCGTGACGTGACGAATTGAATTTAAATTTGGTTAGAAATTAGATTTCATAAATGATTTAGTAAACTAAATACATCATTTTATTCCTAACTGAATAGTTGAGGAACGACTGACGAGTGGAAATTCAGCTTTCAATCCAGAGAAGGCTCCGCAACTACCTCGAATCTCTAGATGGTAAGCTATGTCTAAGATAATTCGCTTGCCGTAGTTGCCTCACATTTGAATGAGCGTCATGGTAAGCAGTTTTATGACTTGAATTTGAAAATATAACAGAAAGACTTAAATAACAAAGATTTCTCAACGACCAGGTTTTGCGGCGTTTTGCAACGCTCCTTGACTCAGGAGGACAATTTGAAAAAGCAACTGTTCAACTGTATTGGATTGTCTGCAGTGCTAGAAACATCGCGCATCATTTGTTCGCTAGCACACACGAACGCCAGTTCCTGAAACAAATTATGAACGCGAAGTGACTCTAGGCAACAAAATTATGAGACATCTAGCACTACAGACTTTCAAATACCATGAACCCATGCCGCCGCCCTCCCATAGGAAACTAGGAACAAGAAAGCGGTGCAAAACGCCGTGAAGCCTGGTCTTTTATGAGACATTCGTTATTTGACATAGTCGAGCGTTCAGACAGCTTATAAAGCATAACAGAAAAGGTGGGGATTAGCTGCTAAAAAGTCACATTTGCTTTAAAACAAGGTCAACAAACAAATGAATAGCTAAGCAATGGGATGCTACACACTCTAATCTCACGACGGCACTACCAATGACGAGTCATCTGTTTAAGTCTTTGTCGTCTCTGCTAATCTTACTATGGGTTTTTACGATATAATGGCTCCTGAAATTTTCTTATTTTCACGAGCTTTCTTTAAAAATTGGTTTACTGCAGTTTCACTGGATGACGCTGTTCTTGATTATGCTGTATTTTCTTACTGCTTAACCTTTTTCTTCTTCCCTGCTTTTGCGGGCCAGATGTCCTCGCATCCTACCTGCATTCAGTCTCCCCACCATCGTCATTGCCACAAGTGAAATTGAGGCCATAAGCTACACCTGTGATGTATTGTTCTGATAAGATACATTTCTCATACAGAAAACCAGAAAGCTTCTGTAGGGAAGGGTGTACCGTTCTAACGTTGTACTTGTTAATAATTCTTACCCTGTCACTGAAACTGCTTTGGTAGGGAATCACCACTTGAGTGCTGCTGCTGAGGTTCTGTGCGGAGCGGCTTGCCTGGTTTCAGTTACCTTTTTTCGGCTTCAATTACCTCGGAACTGTTTTTGAATAAACGTTTCCGAGAATACATCCCTTTGCACATTGAACAGTTCGTCCTTCTGTTCATAAAGACTGATGGAATTTGCCCACATTCTCAAGTCTCTTATGTATGGGATTCGTGACAGTCCACTCTGTGTATAGTTTGCAGTTTTTGTGTTTTCCGATAGAGGTATAATTCTTATGCACAGTCATTCCAGATTTTGTTGTGTCCCCTATTGCCTCTGGAGTCATGGTTAAGTTCCCACGACAGAAGTTTTGGCATATTTTCGTTCTGAGTAAATGTTCGTGACGGCCGTTGTATTTTGCCGATAACAAAATGAGCTGCAAAAACAGTTTCTACGTATCTAAGGACTGGGAATACATAAATGTTGCTTCGTGATCATTTTACTGTGATAATTTCAACAATTTTCTATTATTCCAACTGGATTATTTTCTGATTATTGCTTCTCACCCAAATTTATTGTCTTGGCTTGTCAGAAAACTGTACTGCATTACAACAAAATAATGTTTTCCTGTTCTGCTCAGGCAAGTCATGTTGCCGCATCTTTTTTCATTGTGTGGCTTCGTGTGGAACCCATGCCTTGAGTCATCCGCGTAACATCCTGTTTTGGTGTAGTTGAATTCCTTTATAATAAAAATAATTTATAAATTGTACGGTAAGTTGCAAATCATGCTCATGCCTGAACCTATGCATAAAACGTTTAATCCTTTCACTTAAGTTCTTTAAGTATGCAATAACAAAGGCCGAGAGGTTTCTGAAGTTTTTCAGGAGATTGTTTCACGTTCATTATCAGTACTATTCAACTTTTTCGCAATTGTGCTAAACTGTCCTTGAAATCATCCGGATAGTTGTTTTGCTTTATTGGTTTGAAAGGAGTCCTATTCTGCTGTTAAAATGAAACGCAATCAGCCAAAAACTCATTCATTAATAATAGTGTTTGCACTAAACACGATGTTGCGAAACTGGTTTATGAGAACTAAAATTAAGATAACATCTAGTGTGTTTGAACTGTGTCTCAATGCATTCTTCTTCTTCCATGAACTAAGACTTTAAGGAACTGTTTAAAAGGCATGTTTTCTGCTAAGTTCATCGTCATACGGAAACTTGATTGATCTTAAAAATAAATCCCGTTGCATTACAATATTACCCATCTATATCTCTATTTTTGAAATGCCATTTGAATGGCATGGAAAAAGAGGGTCAGGAAGTTGTAGAGTAGAAAGAGGTTGAATAGGAAGAAAATTAATTTATATAGTCGAAGACAGTGCCACCTGAGAAATTAGTGTGTTTATAGGACACCGTATTAGAACTGCTATAAGATTTATATCGATATGACAGCGTAAAATAAAATTTTGGTTAACAGAATGCATAACAGCTTTGAAAACGGAGCTGAACCTGCACTAGTTGAACATGCAACTGCACAAGATGAACAGTAATAGGTGAAGATTTTGGATTATTCTGATACATTAAATGATAAACCTCAAATTCAAAGTCATTTTCATTGTCCTATTTCAATATAGAGAATTCTATGAAAATATCTTTGCGATGTTACCTGCGTTCGTAAATATAGTAGACATATATACAACCTGCTGTACAATATAATCTGTGTGCGTTACTGTAGTTCCTTGTGCTACCTGAAGATGATTAATATTATTTAATCAAAATCTTGTACTTTGCTACATTTTTAGAGTAAAAATCGTTGAAAGCCACGACGGATTTTACCTTTTCTTGATAATCGACTCCAACAGCTTCAACAGAAATACAATTCATCGTAAGTTTACTAACACATAAATATATAGAACTAGTTTGCATAATAATATTAGCAAAAAAGCATTAGTAGTTAGGCATAAGATAGATAGGACTATGAAACTCTGCCGCAATGAATTTTTCAGAGAAGGCTAACTATCTTAAGCAAACCTACGTAAGGACGAATATTCCCTTAAATTTTTTAACCTTAGTGCATTAACGTTCTTTAAACAGTGCATTAACGTTCTTTAAGCTGATCTGAAATAGCACTGGTCTCAATAGTATGGCTTTAAATGATCGATTTTATTTAATTCTTTTTCATAAAAAGTTACAAAATATGCCAAACCTTCAAGGCAGCAAACATAATTTATAAAGGCTCGAATAAACATGGTGTTTAATGCAGTGACTGAAAACAATTCATCAAGCTGGGTTTATAAATTACCGTGTAAAAGTGAGAAATACTGCATAAGAGAAGCAGAAAACACTATCAAAGAACCAAGCCCACCTGTCAAGCTGAAGAAGATGGGCGATCGCGGTCGAACATCAACGACGTGTTAATCAATAACCGGAAAAGAAAACAAAGTATCACTCCTAGGCAAGTCAAGATCCTATATAAAAGGACCAATGTCGCGGGCAACACAAGATGGGCAGCCTTTCCCCCTCCCCCCCCCAACGGTAAGAGGGTACCGACAAAATCAAAGAAAGAAAGCATCTAAACAAGCGTGTCAAGGAGACGTCGATCATCCAGTGTAACGAAGGATGCGAACTGTTTGCGGATTGGATGAGTATTATTCGCCCGAAAAGTACTTAATTGGCAGTAAGAACCGAAGGTTCTCCTGACAAACAGGTTTCCTTCTACAAGAAGCCTGAATAAACGCTTAACTTCGTTCACAAATTTATCTTTAAAAATTAATGCGTTAGAAAATCACTCGATATTTGATATACTTTGGCATACGAAAAACAAATGACGTTTATGTGGTAACGCGAAATACGGCTGCGCCATCTTATCTAACTTGGCAGGAACACGTACGATTAGTTGTAATTAAACGCTACTGAGTTTCATGTATACAAAGCAACAGAGAAACTGTCATGGACCACAAGAAGTCATTAGAAAACTTGTCCTTGCGTATATTTCATCACTTTATACATATGTCATATTCCTGTCTGTTAGTGTGCAACATGAAATCACTAGAGTTTGAATTGCAGATCTGTATACATACTTGCAGCTGTTTTATAATAAATGCAGTTCTTGTGTATCAGTTACGTTACGAGAGCTAATGCTGCAGGTCGAGCAGCCGGGAGGTTAACGAGCAGTTAGGGCGACAAGGATTTCAAGAGGTAGCATGCGACCCTTGGAAATTACTCCAAAGGTAGAACTGAAGAATTTCTTTGGATCAAAACCGATTAAAATCACAAAAAACTGACGTTAACAGCAAAACATTCGAAAGGCCTTCAGCCAGCATTGGATCGAAAATGGCTGATGTTGGCATGCTGTTCATTGTTGTTGCCTTATTAATCAGCTTCATTCCCATGATTTTCTGGACAACACGAACTTCGGATTGACAAATTTGTTCGTTCTTATGCATTAATCTCCAACCAAAGTATAAATTTTCTCGTGTTGGTGATCGTAGCGTGACTAGGCTGCATGCCCAACTGGAAACTTTGCTGCGTAGCTTTTTGACCAGAGATAGAATTATATGACAGGTGCACCGCAATGCAATTCGGCGAATCATCTAGCTTACGTACATAGATGACAGCATCGTTCAGAGCATTCAAAATAGTCGATATTTATGCACTATTTTAAAAGACCTGAATATGCCTTACCTCGTATAAAGGCAGACCCAATGTTTCAGGGTCACCAAGGTTGC